AGAAGTTGCCAGATCAAAACAAAATTTAACATGTGTTCATAACAGAGATGGAAATTTACATAACACTTAATTTTTATACCCTTCACCACACTGTGGTACAGGGTATTATGTCTTTGTGCATATGTTTGTAACAGGCAAAAGGAAACGAGATAGACCCATGGTTCCTTTTGAGAATATGCATAGAATCACTTTTTAAGTCGATTTAAGCATGTCCGTCCGTCCGTCTGTCCATGTATTTTTGTGAGCAAAGTACAGGTCGCATTTATGATCCGAATTGGATGAAATTTGGCACAGCTCATTTGTTTGGCCCAAGGACGAACCCTATTGAAATTGGGAAAAATCGGTTCAGATTTAGATATAGCTCCCATATATATTTTCGTCCGATTTCATGTAAATTGTGCACCAAAGTCCCTATATATCTTTCGATTTGCACGAAATTTGGTATAACGTACTGAATTGGCCCTAGAGTGATGTCTGCAAAATTTCGTGAAAATCGGTCCAGATTTAGATATAGCTCCCATATATAGTTTCGTCCGATTTCATGTAAATTGTGCACCAAAGTCCCTATATATCTTTCGATTTGCACGAATTTTGGCATAACGTACTGTATTGAGCATAGAGTGATGTCTGCCAAGTTTCGTGAAAATCGGCCCAGATTTAGATATAGCTCCCATATATAGTTTCGTCCGATTTTAGGTAAATGGTGCACCAAAGTCTTTATATATCTTTCGATTTGCACGAAATTTGGCATAACATACTGAATTGAGCCTAGAGTGATGTCTGCCAAGTTTCATGAAAATCGGTCCAGATTTAGATATAGCTACCATATATAGTTTCGTCCGATTTCATGTAAATTGTGCACCAAAATCCCTATATATCATTCCATTTGCACGAAATTTGGCATAACGTACTGAATTTAGCATGTCTGCCAAGTTTCGTGAAAATCGGTCCAAATTTAGATATAGCTCCCATATATAGTTTCGTCCGATTTCATGTAAATGGTGCACCAAAATCCCTATATATCTTTCCATTTGCACGAAAATTGACATAACGTACTGAATTGAGCCTAGAATGATGTCTGGTATGTTTCGTGAAAATCGGTCCAGATTTAGATATAGCTCCCATATATATTTTCGTCCGATTTAATGTAAATGGTGCACCACATGTATCCTTCGATTGGCACAAATTTTGGCATAGCGTTCTGAATTGATGCTGGAATGATGTGTGCTGAGTTAGATATATATATATATAGATATATATTTTCGTCCGATTTAATCTAAATAATGTACCAAGTTCTTATGTTGCATAGCGTTTTTAATTTAATCCAAAATAATGTGTGCCAAGTTTAGTGAAAATCGGTTGAGATTTAGATATAGCTCTTTATATTATAGATTGATTTTAAGTAATTGACGCAACAAGGAACCAATATATGGCTGATAGGAACGGTTCATATTTAGATATAGTATCCATATATAAGTAAATTGTGCATCAAACTCCTAATATTTGTTAGATTGACATCAAATTTTGCACAACGTACAAAATTGAGCATAGAATAACGTAGTTGGGTTTTCTAGAAGTACAGGCCTAGCTCAACGGATGAACTATTGACATTTGTTTGAAGTCGATTTACATACTTTTGTTCCATTGTAACAAACGAATGACATGTTTATGGATAGATCTAGGTCGTTTCACATTTAGATAAATATGACATATTTTATTTCATACAATTTCATGATAATAGTCCTGTTTAATATACCCATAGTGGTGAAGGGTATCATATAGGCGGCCCCGTCCGACTTTATTTTCTGTTTATACCGTGCTTTTTGTGAAAGGCTAAGAGGTTACCGAAGTGTCACTGTAAAGGTTGATGCCACAGTATTGCAGGTATACTGGGAGCATGGAGAAGGGTCAATATTGGTATAGGGATGTTTTATTTGTATGGTGTTTGATATATTTTCGAGATTTATGAAGTCATGGATCGGATTGATTATACACATGAATTGGAAAACGTAATGGTTCCCTCCGCTGAAGAAAATATGTACACCGCTTGTTTGGGCGTTTTAGCTTGACAATAACCTCGAACACACACCAAAACATGTTAAAGATTGGTTGCGGGAGTCAAAAATTCAACACAATCATCAGATGCAAATGAAAAACCAAACAAATAAGTATAGGCTCTTCTAAAAGGTTCAGGATGCAAGGAATAGTATACCTAATGATCTCGTAGATGTGCTGCCGTAATGAAAAATAATGGTTATGCTGTCTATTACTAGCAAAATTTGCTTATTTATAAGAAAAAATCAAAAAATGGCTTTAGTTTTGACCATGCAAAAATTGGGCCAATTTAGATTTCCATAGAATATTTTTAGTTGTAAATAAATTTTGCTTCTTATACCCCACACAACTATGTTGTCAGGGTAGTATAGCTTTGTGCAGCCCCAAGAGTTTGTAACGCCTCGAAATATTTGCCCTAGACCACACCTTTAAGTATACCGATCGTCATATTTCGACTAGCTAAGTCGATCTATAATTTGTAAACAAGATACAGGCCACAGTTATGGACCAATCTTCCCGAATTTTGGATATAGGATGGGTTCTGTCCAATGAAGACCCATATTGTTTTTGGTAAAGATCGGTTAATATTTTGGGGATAAAATGGACCAAATACTTAATTTTTGTCGGTTTTTCTGGTCGTTCCAGAGGTCTAATGGCCAAACATCGCGTATTTTTACAAGGAGAAGGGTATCGGGCCAAACTCCCAATATTTGCCCGATTGAGACAAAATTATGCACAGAGTACTGAATTAGGTTTAGTTTGATACGTACCAAGTTTTGTTGAAATCGGTTCAGATTTATATATAGCTCCCATATATAGCTTCGTCTGATTTTATGTAAATGAATCACCATTCTGCTCCCATTTGTCCGATTGAGACAAAATTTTGCATAGGGTATTGAATTAGGCCCAGATTGATGTATGCGAAGTTTTTTTTGAAATCGGTTCAGATTTAGATATAGTTCCCATATATAGTTTCGTCCGATTTGCACCATCCTATAGATGTTTGTCCGATTGAGACAAAATTTTGCACAGAGTATTGAATTAGGTCTAGATTGATGCATGCCAAATTTTGAAATGGATTTTTTGTCGAGATAAATTTTTGATAGCGTACTGTGTCCATTTATATATAGATCTTTTACAAATTTTGCTCGATAGCTGACATTCAATTTTTCATAAATTTCAGATTGGTACCCGTCCGACTTTTGAACTTTCCTTACTGATTAAAAATGAATAAATAACTTATTTATTTCCAAAAAAAAAAACTTTCACTATAACATAATTTTCAAAAAAGTTAATTTATTTAGTTTGCAATTTCAATTGCTTTAGTTTTGGCCACCAGTGCACATATATTTCTGCACCATTTCTTCATGGATAAATTGTATGGTTCTAGAAGGTGTGGACCAATAAGCCCCATACACTGCGTATCATAACTATAGACGCACCTTTAATTCAATTGGTATGTTAGTTGACAAATAAAATGGACCCATTAAATTATTGTTCACAATAAAACGATCAACAACACATATTATTCAAAAAAAAATAAATAATTTATTCTTTATGGTTTCGCCGAATTCTGCACTTTCAAAATTACTGGTGTTGCATAACTATAGACGGACTTTTACAAAATTAGAAAAAGTTATTTTTTTTAAAACATAAATAAAATAAAATAAAATAACCTTTATAAATAATGGGTAGGGCTTCCCTTATTTTGCATAAGTTCAAAAAATGTTATCCATCACACTGTTGATCAAAATTTTGTCGCAAGTCTTCATCGATTGACCGCCATTCATCGATAATCACTTCTTGGAGATAAAATAATGTTTGGTATTGGCGGTTTTCTGCATAGACACGACGAATCAAGATTCCACACATGTTCTCTATCGGATTCTGGTCGGAAATTTTAATATTTTTTTTTAATTTTAACCATACTTGAGTACGGCGACTTTTATGAACTGGCGCGTTGTCCTACTGAAAAGCGAGTCCTTCATTGTTGCTGCTTTCCATGGCTATAAAATGCTCCCAAAACCATTACGGACGGAATCACCATATTTCTTAAAACGATATTTCGATGGCGGTTCCTTAATTGTCTTGGGAGCATTTTATAGCCACGGAAAGCTTTATTTCACATTTCCTAGTTGTCGGATGAATTCAATGGAGTACGTTCAAGTCTTGGAAGACAAATTATTGCAATTTTGGGAAAGCTGCAACAATGAAGGACTCGTTTTTCAGCAGGACAACGCGCCATAATTCGTCCAATTTACTATAACAAATATCTTTTTCGACAACAATTTGAACGAATTTTAACGAAGTTAAGGCAGCAGATTAAATATAATTTCAAGTACTACCAGGGACGTACGCAATTATTATTATTATTTTTTTGTACAAAAAATTTATTTTAACATTGAAAATGTTTATATTTAACGGTCTGTATCCACATCTGAACCAAGCTTCCACGCATAGTTATACATATGTATTTTGTTTTCCTTTGCATGTGTACGATAGTTTGGTGTGGGCCACAAATGGTAAACTCATGCAGATTTAAATCTTAAAATGGTGTTTTACATAAAACATGAACATGTTTTAGATGCAATCAACTCCTTCTTAAATAAAGATTTTTTTCTTTTTTTTATTTTGCTTCTACTGTGGTCATTAGTGTGTCTGTCGGCTTGTCTGCTCTCAAACGCACATGACCCAGTGAACTTGTTTGGCACGAGCCAAAAAAAAAACAAAAATTAACATAAATTGTGACACTACCAATGGTATGTTTATTTTAGGAAAGATGTATTGTTGTTGTATTTTATGTTTTAATCTAGATAATTGGCAAAAATAGCGTTTTCTTCATGAATGTTTGGAACGTTTTTCTACTCTGATGTTTTTATATCGATCGCTTCTTCATTATTGTATTTCGTTCTTTTCTCATTATTAAGCTGAGCATACATCTCCGTTTAATTATATACCAAACATTTTCCGAACAGTTCCAAAAGTTTCGATCGATGATTGTAAGGTACTAATCTAAAGAACATATCCTGAAAAGGATTATTCAAATTTAATATACATTCAATTCTAAAAAAGGCTATAAAAATAACTTACATTAATGGTATGCCAAAAATATCCTGTGGTCACATTCACCTTTCCCAATGTCCTTATAGCGTCGCGAACATAAACATCAGCTGCGGGAACAAAAAGATTACCTCGCCGTAACCACGTTGAAAAATCCACAAGTTTTGTTGATACAAAGAAAGGCGATAGTAATTGCACGGTTATACCCAATGGTCTAACTTCATGTTGTAATGTCAGTGTAAAGTTACGCATATAGGCTTTAGTGGCACTATAAATTCCACCATAAGGTGTTGGATATGATTCCAAACACGAGGATACATTTACAATGCAACCTTTTGTGTCATTCTTTTGCCACACTCTCACAAAATGTAGGCATAATTCAGTGGCAGCAGCCATATTTACATAATTCATATTCCATAGGTATTCGGAAGGAAGTGACCACATCAGGTCGGGGTTTTCGGTGGCCATGCCAACATTATTGACTGAAAGAAAATATTTTGTTGACTATATAAGAACATTGTTAGAAGTGTGTGTTATTAACTTACCAAGTAAACCAATTGGTTTTTTAGATAATTCTTCAAAGAGGCTTGGATAGATTTTGGGACCATGCGAGAAATCGGCCTGTATTGTAAAAACTTCAACACCAAATTGATTTTCTTTAAATTAAAAAGGCAAATTAAAATTCGAATAAGTTTTAAGTCCTGATTACTTACCAATTTCCTTAGCCACTGTTTCCAATTTACTTTCATTTCTAGCAACTAATACCACATTGAATCCAAGTCGTGCCAATTCTTTGGCATATTCTTTACCAATACCATCGGTAGAACCTTTAATAGCTTAAATGGAAGAAAATAATTAAATAAATTGAAATAAAAATAAAAAGTAAAATACATCGCAAAATTCGATCAAGCCGAATTTGTTATGCATACCCCGTACCCGTACTGGGCGTTTAATATACTCAAGAAAATGTCGGGACCTTTAATGTAGGATTTGATACTTTTAATTGTTTTAAATACGTAATTACATAGATTGGAAAGTTGGATGCTTTATATAATGGCTACTTCAAAACATGCACCTATATTGAAAAATGTCGGCAACCAAGCCCATAAGCTCCTTCTGGTGAGGTGGGCTAAATTTTCACATCAAACTCTTTTACAAATGCCCCAGCAGTCCAAAATTCTTTGATGATTAGTTTTTCATAAATATTAAGAGGCACTAAAATTTGAAATGAAGATTGACTTTCAAAGAACGAAGGCCAAGGTTTATAAGTTCTCAAAAAGTAGTCAACTTCAATATTAGTTTTTATGTAATAGTTAATATCTTTAGTTGTTGTTTTAGACGTTTATATGAATATTGTTCTTCTATTTGATTCAATCAGATTCTATCTCCAGGTTATGAAATGTAGCTATTTCCACTGGCTGCAACCACAGATCTTCAGGAATAAGTCGGGTAGATTTGCCAGGGCAATAAGTGCAGTGTGGTATGAGGGCCCGTTCTACATACCGGGCAGACATTCAGTATCTGGCCATCAATCCGTGCGCAATACGAATTGAGAGAACTGCTACAATCTGAACGTAATTAGGTTCAGAACTGATCCTGTTTGTCTGGGCAGCTGGCGTTCTTCAGTTGCGACGGGTGGGTCGTTCAGAGCTGCGTCAACTGCATGAGTCTGAATGCTATTCAGACCTGCTCGATAGGCAAATTGGACTTCTCTCTCTATATCATGCAGATCCTTCCTGAAACGCTTTGGGAGTCTTATCCACCTGGTTAGGATGATTGTCCCTGAAAACCCCGAGCAGGTACTGCAACGACCTTCAGATTCAACTGCATTCTCATTTCCGCAGTCCATGTGGTGAATAATGTGGCCGACGACTTCCTGGTGGATAGTTTCATATTCCTCGCATATAAGAAGACAAAAGTGAAATCGGCCTGTAAGATTCATCTTTGCTGGCATCCTTCAATAGCGGGACCACCCTGCCCATTGTCCAGGCTTCGAGAACGATTTGGGTAACTGTCGATAATTTGAGGTCAGTTGTTTTAGCATATACATAGATGACTTAGCGTTACGGATCACACATGCAACATCCCCCTTTGCAAACTGTGGTGGTACCTCCTCGGCGGGAAGAGATTTTATATGACGCCCTGTCGCTCTCGGGATGCACGATAAACTGTCGGTTAAAATATCTGGCGGATCTCTTCGGATCAGTCACAGTGACGTCGTTAAATGCGACTGAGGTTCTATCATCCCGGAATATCCTTTCTGCTACCCGTAAATCAGAAGAAATGGAAAGTTCTCTGCAGCACTGGGGTTGAACTCTCCAAATCCTTGCCAGTTGGCATTCCTATGGGTAAGGAAAGTGTGGCGTTTAGAGATTATGAAATCGGGCGATCTGCTTATGGAGACGATGATGGGGTGTTGGTCTGAGCCAAGAGAAATGATGGGCTGCCAGTTGACGTTATTTATCAGACCTGGTGACGCAATGGTTATGTCTGGCGAATTTTGACTCTTTCCCCATTATTCTGGTGGGGGCATACTCATTTATCGAACAGAACGTGGAGCTATCAATTTGCTCTGCCAGCACTGTTGCTCTTTGATCATTACCTATGCCACAAATCTTGTGATCATTGAAATCCCTAGACGCTAGAATTGGGCATTCTAGTTCACAAGCGGATTGATCTTTCCTTAAAAAAAAACTAGTTTTTTAATGTAGTTCCTTTGCTTCATATAGTTCCTTTACTCTATACAGTTCTTTTGCTCTTTATATTTCCTCTGCTTTTTATAGTTCCTTTGATAGGCTTGTATAAGGTGCATAAGGAATGCTAGGCCCCACCTCCACTTCTGGTGCGATCTTTCATCAGAACGTTGTAACCATTACAACGTTGTCGCGCGACCAAGATATTCTTCCGATTCATAAAGTCCACCATCCCCACCATGAGGAAGGAGATTATGAAATCGGGCGATCTGCTTAGAGATTCTCCTAGGGGGAGAATAAGTCCTCTGCCGTTTCTATGAAGAATAAGACCTAATTTGGAAATCGAGGAGCATCTGAATAACGAACGAGAACGAATGAAGAATATGTGAAAAAGGAAATAAAGAACTGGACATTTTTCTTTACGTCCCTTTATCGGAATACTTCCAATGAACTAGTCCGCTTCGGAACTACGCAACTCTAGTGAATACACACGCTTGTTCATCCCACATTTTGCAAGCAGACACATTACACATGCTTATCAATCTGTAGTCTAGATCACATCCCGCAATACTAGCTCATTTGAGTGAAATAGATTTCGGCTCTTCTCTCATGTTTAGACAACTCACCTGCCCACTTGCCAAATTTCTCCGTAAGCGGTGTTTTTCTCTTCACATATTCGTAATAGAATAATAACATTGGTGTTTTGAAACAATAATACAATTTACTCAGACTTATACAGATGCCAACAAAAGTAAAAAATACAAAAATAATCATTCTGTGATGCAATCAAAAATATGAACTTAACAGCTTCGAATGCAAAAAGCTACTGACGTTGCTTAATTTATTTTTTAAGAGAAACGAAGTACAATTAAGAATGAAACGAATACGATCCAAATGATCGCATAACATAATGCAAATAATAAAATTAATTTACACTGTTTGACAAACAATTTTATTTTGCTGTATCGTAATTAATTACCTATTATAAATCTGCCGATTTCATGATGTCATAGATTTAATGAAATTTGTATTCAGTATTTGTATACAAAATTTTCTAAGAAAGCCCTTTTATGAAAAACTCTATGCTTCACCTTGTCGCCTTTGGCAACTTGTCTATAGAAGTCTCTCGCACAGTTTCTTTATATTGCAAATATGTTTGCCAAATTTTCCACAACAATTATTCAAACTTTCCGTTTAATTTGAATTATAACTACCACATGGATAAGGTAAACCATTTTCCACATTTTTTTTACTTTCGGAAGATGAGGTATTACATGTCCTGAAATCACTAAAAACTTCTAATTCTGCTGGTGCAGATGGTGTCCTGTCATCTATACTAAAGTCTTGTGCTTATGATGTGCTTATGGTCGGTGCACTATTGAAAATTATAGGGGCTTTGCCAAATTAAGTGCGATTTCAAATTTATTTGAACTTTTGGGTTTTCGAAGAATTTCCCACTTTGATTCTCTATATAATATCCTTTCCAACATGGCTTTATAAGAGTGAGGTCTGGATTGACAAACCTAATGGAGCTCATGTGTCACCCTCACAATGGGCTTATCAATAAACTGCAAAGCGAAAAATTAAGTGTTTTTAGGAACTATTGATTACTTTATAGGTTTTCATAAACTTGTCTTTGTAGGCTCGTTTTCAGATCTTGGTATCATTTGAGATAACAAATTGCGTTTTCATTTACATATTGAATCATGTGTTAATAAAGCTAAATCGTTTCTAAAGCGATGGTGTAAAGAATTTGAAGATTCGTATATAAAAATTGTCCATTTTATAAAAATTATTCTAATAAAATAGAATCGGTTCAAATCCAGTTTAATGAAAAAATTTATTATAATATTGTTTCGTAGAAAAATTGATTCTAACTTTTTAACCAGATGAAATAAAATTTAATATTTCTTCCCTTAACTTATCCCCCTTAACTTATCCCTAGTTAGACATAATTATTAACTAACAAATCCACTTCGCGCTGTATGTGACATTTATAATAATTTATATAACAGAGTATCATTTTTAACCCTTTCATGTAATAAAAAATGTGTTATTCGTCCATAATTGTAATATTGTTGCCATACAGTTGCGTTGTAATATTTTTTTGGATGTTTGTCAAAACTATTGTATTAATTTTTACGTCTACCTACTAATATAAGACTGGCTGATGTTAATTCTGTAGCAAGTAATTTTCCTTCATTACTAACCCTCCGGACTATGGGGTGCACGTTATCTCCACGTTATGTGGCGTGGGGACGTTAAAAAAAGAAAAAACTCTCTGAAGGTATATATCAGAATACCTTCAGCTGCAACACATCTATAAAATACATCCTTCAGCAGGTCGCCACTGGTTACTACTTTTATCAGTCTCTTAAGGAACTTAATCGAGGAGGGATTTGAAGTAGTCTGTTATACAGACTATTTTATAATATTCCTAAGGAAAAGAATCCAAACTGACTCTGTAGAAATGCTGAAACGGTGGAAATATCGTCTATAGAAAAACGAGGAAAAGAGTTCCACTATTACGCCAAGTTAAGTTTTTTCCTTTAATGCCAAACTGCCTTTTTATTTAATCAGCCCGAAGTCCATTCTTTTCTGTCAATTAATACCGGATATGTACGGCTTTCTACGAGGTACATGAGCATGATAATCGGGGGTTTTTAAAATTTTGCACACAGCTTGTTGATGAATGTGATTATTGAAGGATTCTTATAAGTTTTCACTGATTTTGAATATCGTTCAGTTCCCCCCGAACTATATAAAAAATAGAACATGTAGATTGGAAAGTTGCATGTTACTTATTTGGCCAAAGGACGAACCCTATTGAAATTGGGAAAATCGGTTCAGATTAAGATATAGCTCTCATATATATATATATATATTAGTCCGATTTTAACTAAAAGGTGCACTAAACACTCAATATTGGTCCGATTGAGACACAATTTTGCACATCTTACTGAATTAGGTCCAGATTGATGTATGCCAAGTTTTGTTGAAATCGGTCCAGATTCAGATATTGCTGTCATATATTGTTTTGTCCGATTTAATGTAAATGGTGCACCAAAGTCCCTGTAAATCTTTCGATTTGCATGAAATTTGGCAAAGCGGTTTGAATTAGGTCTAGAATGATGTACGTTAAGTTTCGTGGTAATCGGTTAACATTTAGATATAGCTCCCATATATATTTTCGTCCGATTTTATGTAAATTGTGCATCAAACTCCCAATATTGGTCCAATTGAGATAAAATTTTGCACAGAGTACTGAATTAGGTCTATATTGATGTATGCCAAGTTTTGTTCAAATCGGTTCGGTTATAGCTCTCATATATAGTTTCGTCCGATTTTATGTGGAGCACCAAAGAGTCAAACTTAGGCGCAACATTTTACGTAGCGTATTGAATTTACTACAGGTTGACAAACATATTAAAATTGCTGCAGGTTGACGTCCGTGAAGTTTAGCTGAAACCGATTCAGATTTAGATTATTTTTATTATTTTACTTAGATTATTTTTATAAGAATATAAATTGTGATTAATTACTTTTTAAAATAATTATAATTATACACGAAATACTTACGAAATGGAATGGAAATATTACTAAAAATCTGTATAAATACAAAAACCCGTGCATCTTAATATTCTTATTAGCTAGAGGTTTCAAACTTTGCAACAGTTATTTATTTTGATATTCGATACCTATGGATCAAAGCTAGCAACGTTCAATGAGAGCTTCATATCGAACACGCCATTGCACATTTCACTGATTCGTCCCTCTGCCTCATCTCCTATATATGCAGCATCCAGGCTAAAATAAGAAGGCCCCTCAGTAAGAATGTTCACCGCCACCACGCCGCAGTCTCATTCTGACTCAACATTATTCTCTGCTGACAGAATTTCTTTGACGTTTATTAAATTTTTTAGAATTAATGTCAAGATATATTTACTGCACTGTCTGTTATTAATCCGGCGCAAGGACCCAATGTTACAAGGAAAGAGTAAGTCTAGGTACGCAAGAGATCCCCAGCAAGACATTATAAGGAAATACAAGTTCGATATGTGAACACAAACATTAATACAATTGCAATATTTGAGAAATTTAGCATCAATCGTTTCTCCTGGGCGTTTCGTTAGGGGTTCAATGCGACTCGTCTGCAGACCTCAACCTGTTGATTTGTGACTTATTGTTCCAGCCCACCTATTAAAGTCTCCCTGGCTTCAGATCTTCTCAAAACTCCATCTAATATAAATATTTTTAAATGCCGGCAGCCTTATAGCATCTTACCGTATCCCACCTATATCTTTCAAACCTATATTATTAGTTGATTTTCAAAATGATCACACTTAAGGGGACCCCCCATTCTCGGGATAATTGAGATAGATCGCCAAAATTTTGCATAAAGTCGTCTTTTGCCTGCAGGCAGGTCAAGTTCGAAGATGGGCTTTATCGGTCCACGTTTAGGCATAGCTCCCATATAAGGGTACCCTCAATTTTTCGGTATTTTGGGGTTCTTGAGCGCGTTTTCAACCGAATTCGCTGAAATTTACTACATTGGGATCTTTTTTGGGTTCCAAATGCCTCCACAAAAAATTATGAATATAGGTCCATTTTTTCGGATAGCCCCCATATAAAAGTACCCCCCAATTTTCGGTATTTTGAGGTTCTTGAGCGAGTTTTTCAACCGAATTCGCTGAACTTTGGTACATTGGGCTCTTTTTGTGTTCCAAATGTCTCCACAAAAAATTATAAATATAGGTCCACTTTTTTTGGTAGCCCCAATATAACGGTACCTCCTTATTTTCAGTAATTTGATGGGTTTGATCGTTTTTTTCCGCCGAATTAGCTATAATTTAGTCTTTTGAGTTCTTAATAGGTACCAAATCTCTCCACAAAAAATTATGAATATAGGTCCATTTTTTCGGATAGCCCCCATATAAGGGTAGCCCCAATTTTCGGTAATTTGGGGTTCTTGAGCCCGTTTTTCAACCGAATTTGAGGAAATTTGGTACATTGGGCTCTTTTTGGGTTCCAAATGTCTCCACAAAAAAATATAAATATATGTCCACTATTTTTGGTATATATAGCGGTACCTCCTTATTTTCAGCATTTTGGGGGTTTTGATCGTATTTTTCCGAGGAATTGGCTGTAATTTAGGATTTTTAGTTCTTAATAGGTACCAAATCTCTCCACAAAAAATTATGAATATAGTTCCATTTTTTCGCATAGCCCCCATATATGGGTAGCCCCAATTTTCGGTATTTTGGGGCTCTTGAGCGCGATTTTCAACCGACTTTGCAGCAATTCGGTATTTTGTAGTCGTATATGGTAACAAGTCTCCCTACCAAAAAATATTAATATTCGCCCTCTTTTTGGGGTAGTCCCCATATAAGTTTGAAAGAAATAATAAGATTGGGCAAAGTTTGGATGAAATCAAAATGTTCTGAAACAAATTTGGTAAAATAAACATGGGGTCTAGAACCAATATTTCGATGAGGCTCATTTTCACCATGTCAAAGTGTATACCCCCTCATTAGCCATAAGTCTGAGGGTATAATTATCCATTAAAAATTTCTGAATTTTGTATCATGGTTTACATAATCGGTTTGTAGAAAAGTCGGTATGAGTCCACTTTTTGGTATTTTCCCTATATTTTCATTTCAAGTACCTGTCAGTATATCTATGGTGGAGGGTATCCA